TAATGTAATCAGGCCTTGTTTATTCCACAGTGATATATTTTTCACATATAGATAGATTATAGATTTCGAGAGGTAGTTGCTAAATGATCAGAAGACCTCACCTACTGTCAGACCAGGACGTCTTCCTTATTATATGAATCATCTCCTTTAGTCCCAACTGAAACGCTGGTCAGGCACAGGATTAAGCAACAAACCTACCCCATATAAACTAGTTCCTTAGCTGACAACCGACTGCAAAAGAACTCTGCAAGCTCTTATCTTCCCATGTTATATGTGGTCAAGGTTTGTTGGCTGTTGCCCAAGTGCCGACAGACATGGAGGTCATGCTAATTGGCAAGAGGCCAGTGATAGAAGCACAGGTTGCTTTTGGGAAATTTACAGCAGATAACAATCAGGGTTACATTTTAAAAAAAGAGCATGGAATAATTAACTTGACGTAAATTAAGACACTCACCAACTATGGCATAAGGTGCGCAAATTGAAAATAGAGATGCATGAGGAAGCAAGAAGATTTACCCTGTAACAATATTTTATAAAGTTAGATTTGTAGTAGCGGCCATTCCCTTAATCTACCAAAGTAAAGAATAAAATGTACTGTAGAATATGATAGTATATTCTTTTTGTCATCTTACTACTTTATAGGATGTTGCATATTATTTTTGTTATCTTACCACTTCACAGGATGTTGTATATTATTTTTGGCTTCTTACCACTTTACAGGATGTTTTATTAAGTATTCCTTTAGAATAGTGGTTCTCAGCCAAAGCCATCTAGTGATGCGCTAAAAGTATATCCTTCACTTCTGTGACAATTCAACTCATTATATGAGAAAACTTAATAAATGCTAAATGATGGAAAAAGAATTGGTTACTTTTGCTTAACTTTCTATAGTTTCCCAATGTTGTAGACAAATGCTGCTTTCGGAAGTCCTTGTCTTGCTCATCCAGACAGCTTGTCAGGACCAGCAGGACAAGGTTGCATTTGAAACTTCAAATGCTTAAATAATTTACCTGCAACTGACAGACACAAAAAATCCTTTGATAACATTAATGGAGGGCCATAAAATTACGCATCAATATATTATGGTTGCTTGGAACTGTCATTGTTTACGTACAAATGCTATTGTGAAGTCATCTCGTCCTGGAGGAGGGCTAGATAGACAAGATGGACACTTTGTTCAGGACACCAAAGTACAGGTTCCAAATGGTCAAAACATTTTGTTCAACTCATCCAACTAATTGGAAAAGGACTTTCAAATGTAACATAAACACTATAAGTTCAAAGGAAAGGAATGCACATATTGAAAAGATTAGGTAACACTTATTTAAGTGATGCATTTGTCAAGAACATACTCTTGTTATTGTTTCATACAACACACCATCAAAAGTTTATACACATACATGCTCACATACATGTACACACATACACACACACACACACACACCACACACATCACACACGCACACGCACACACGCACACACACACACGCACGCACGCACACGCACTCACACGCACACACACACACACACACACACACACACACACACACACACACACACACACACACACACACACACACACACACACACACACACACACACACACACACACATTGATGATGAATTTGATATCATGTTATTTATACAAGTCTACCTTTACAGATCCTAGAAGAGGAAAGAGACATCCAAAGAGATGGTATGTTCCCCCAGTAGCCATGCAGTATGATCAAAAACACATGCCAGCTGAGTGGGATGGTAAGTAATTTTAAGAACTTGTTGAATGTTGCTCATTATTACTCTTGTGAATCAAATTCTGCTAGATTTTCCTTATATATTTTATTATTCAACAAGAACATGATAGTAATATAATATGATTCAAAGTGCATTTGCTATCATAGTTTTGTATGATTTACAGCGTGGTTAAGAAATCGCCGTGCAGAAGCCCCAAGTGAATCCGAATTAAAAGAGAACTTGACTCTTTCAATTATGAAGAAAGAAAATGCTGATAAACTAGCTTTGAAAGCAGGTAAACAACCTGAGGAAGTCCTTAAGGTAAGAGAATAGGTAATTGGATGTAAAAGTTGTAGATGGATGTATATAATCTATGTATTCAGTAAGATTTCCAAGACCCTGGATGATATAAGAGACATTAAGCATATTTGCAGTTCATTATAGGGCAATTATTCAGTTCTGAAAATAATGGGGAATAGCATCAGTGTTAGGGTGATATTAGGTGAGGGTAAGGCAAATAGCTGGCTTCCTATCTTGGTTTTATTCAGGGAACAATGAGGGACGCAAAGCATCCCTATGTAAAGGTGGCCCAAGGCTGACTGACTACTGACTCCCTTTCCTTGGGCAGTGTGTGAAACCTGCATCACTGCCACTGCTAGCAGTGTTGCTATTACAACTCTAACTCCCCCCCCCCCCACTAATGCAGAGAAACCTCCACTGCATTCATCAGATTAAAAAAAAAAAGATTATTGGGTACAACACAATATGTAATCTATGGCAAGATATAAAATATTTTTGAATATGCATAAGCTCATTGACTGTTCAGTCATACGGATGAACAAAAATTAAAGGGTTTCGGGGATGTAAAAGCTTTTTGAATGTGCATGCAACATGACACATTGTAAATTACATAATTCTTTTTAAGGCAAAACCAAGTGATATGGAATTCTTCAAGTATAGATTCTGGAACTCCTACAATATTGTGTAGTTTCTAGATGCCTAGGGGCACACTTTATACAATGTGGCCTTCTCCTGGAGGAGGAGGGCTGCATGTCTTCAGTGTGTCCACTCCCTGTGGGCCACTTTTGAGGGGAACCCCCTCTTCCCTGTGCTGCCAGCACCTCTGTGGTGTCCCTTGAGGGCTGGAAGTGTTGTCGGTTCCTGAGAGTTGCATGGCCTTTGCTAATCAACCACATCAGGTACTGTCTCATGGTGGGTGTGTCAACAAAAATGCTATTCCTGTACCAACTTCTTGTCTCCTCATTCTGCAGGCATACTTGTTGTCCTCAGATGAGAGGGGTGAGGTGCGCCATCCTGTTGAACCTGGCATCCATTGTGTATCCGATGTGTGCCATGGCCTGCTCTCTGTTTCTCGGCATGCTTGCCCATTGTCTGCTGATGTGGTAGTGCTCTGTGGCAGCTGGTACAGTTCCTCAGCTGCCTTCCCATTAGCAGCTGGGCAGGGGATGCACCACTATCCTGTAGTGGAGTGTTGAGGTATTGGAGTACAGCCTTTGCAGCTTCCTCTGAGTTAAGGGAGCCTTCTAGACCTTAGAAGATTTTTTGGGTGATTTAACTGCAGCCTCGGCTCAGCCATTTGACTGTAGAAAATAAACTGAAGAGATTCTCAGCTGCACTCACCATGATAGGAGAGATGCCCTGGCTTCCTCACTGATAAGGTTTGTGCCTCCATCACATGAAAGGTCCTCTGGAATGCCAAATCTACAGAACCGTCTTCTGAAGGCAGAGGTGAGTTTGTTGCTAGTGGATCCACTGAGGAGGTGCTCCACTTTGAGCCACCTTGTCAATCTGTCTGTGTAGGCAAGGTTGACTTCCCCCATTCAGTTGAAATAAGTTGACCACGGCCTGCTGAAAGAGGTATTCTGAAGTTGGCGTGGGCCAGAGGGGCTTGGGAAGGGGTGATGGTCTTGCATATCTGGCACTGCTGTTGTTTTTGCTCTACCTCGCTGTCATAGCCAGTATACAACTTGCCTAGCATGGAGTCTCTGCCCTGGTGACCTGTGTGGAGGTTGGCCAAGATTGCATGCTGCAGAGCAGCAGGGATGACCACTTGTAGGTGTCCTTCTTCTTTAGCATACAGGATGATGTCTCCCTGGCATGATAGGTGTGACCTTATCTTGTAATATGGGTGGAGTGCTGGTGGCTTGTCTTCCTTCTGGTCTGCCCAATCCCCAGTGGCCATGCATACATGGAGGAGCTTGTAGTTATTGTCCCGACTGGCTTCCTCTTGCACTCGGTGAAGGTCTACAATGACCCACTCCATCTCTAGGGCACAAGCAGTGGCTGAAACTACTAATGCACAAGTATCCTTGTTGCCTGCCATATCTGTTTTGTCTGGTATTTACACGAGTGTTTTTTCCTTGAGATTGAGTACATGAGGGTTTGTAATATCCTTGATCTACTTGTCTCAAAATATCTTTGTCAGTGCATAGTGGTCCATGACGATGGTAAGATATAGGCAGCCGAGGAGGAATAATTGTGCTTTCAAGCACTAGGTGATGGCAAGTGCTTCACTCTCTAGTTTTGAGTAGTCCTGCTCTGCTAGCATAAGGTGTCAACTGCCACACAGAGCCTGCTTCATGCAACAAACTGGGAAAGATGCAGACTTTTGTTTACCATACACCTTCCTGAAGGAACCTGCGCACCAGTGTCAACCATGGCTTTTATGATGTTCTGCTTGTGACTGGTTTCTTACGCCTGCAGAGGCTATCACACTACAGACTACTATGTTTCTCTTCAGTTTTTCGCCGACTCACAAACCCTTCAGAAGTGACCCAACTTCCCACATTCACGACACATGGCTCCTGCCGCCAGGCATGATGTTTTGCTTGGTGGGTGGCACCCGCTATAGTAAGCACATCGCCACACACCCTGCAAAGCTGTCTCTGCATGGGCGTCCTCCGTGATGTTAGCTGCTCCCTGTGTTCCACATCGGAACCAAGTGGTGTCCGTGTGCTGTATCATATGCCTCACAAGATGCTCACAGGTGATCCACATCCTGGAACTGGCCACAAGCCTGGAACACTTCACGTCTGAGAGCCGGCTTGTGCAGTTCCGCGACTAGCTTTCATTACAGCATATATTCGTAGATCTTGCCATTACACTCTGGACATCGGAACTCACAATCCATTACTTTTTGTGAAATATTCCCTCACTGACTCGCCTGGAGACTGCACTGCAATGAAAAAGTCTGTCCAATACACAGCTTGTTTGAATTGTTGCAACACAAGCTTGTTCATGGAGTTCAGGGCTTCTAACAGCAACAAAACATTCCACTTGGCCCTGGGGAACCTCACATCCAGGGCACTTTGGAGGGCGGGTACACATGAGGCGGACGTAGCAGGTGGCATTAACGTCACATACCGCATTCAGGCAGAGCCAATCTTCCACTGAGCGACACCATATGTGGAAGTCAGCTGAAGTAATTTCTTGACAGCAATTGTCTAAGGCACCACAGCCTACTGCAATGCCTTGATGGTGGTATAGGGCAAGACGAGGGTTGTTTGAGCCGGTGCCCGGCACCTGGATGCTGTTGAAAATCTGGGCCATGTTGGTGTAGTCATTTTTGTGCGGTCTGTTTGTCACTGTGCCACGTTAGGGTGACGTCGGGTGAGGAAAATAGCTGTATTGCTATCTTAGTTTTACTCAGGGAACAAAGAGGGATGCAAACCATCCATACAAGAAGGTGGCCCTAGTCTGACTACAGACTCCCTTTCCTTGGGCAGCATGGGAAAAGAGCTGCTGCCACTGTCAACAGTGTTGCTATTACAACTCTAACAATGTGATAATTTTTACAGCAATATTAGATAGAGAAGTAAGAAGTCAATTACTAGACCCACTGCCTTCTTTATTCATCCCATTTCTTGAATTGACATGAGAAAAAAGGTTTTATTTCACCAGCATCATTGTCATTATAATGTTAATACCAACAGTGGTCATAATAAAAATAAGAATTTTTCCAAAAATTCATGGAATGGGATGAAGGGGGGATGTTAGGTAGTGTGAGCACTTTTATAAATTTAGCATGTATATTAGCTTTAAGCTTATCAATATTTTTTTTCTGTTTCAGCATTCGGATATGTCATCTTATCCTGTCTATGATGATTATGAAGTCACTCCAGGGGATGGAACAAAAATCAAATAATAATTAAGAAAATAGGTTTACATTATAAGATATGGATTTCAAATAAAGGTATTTGTACTTTTAATTGATATTTATGTTGATGCTGTACTTTATGTATATATTTCAAAAATAAATTTTAACAAATACATCAGATTTTATCATTTCTAACCAGTCAAGTCTGCATAGTAAGAATCAGTGGTTACTGAAGTTTGGGATCCAAAATATATATATCTTCATATAGACTTGTTTTATATTTCTATTTTACATACTTCACTGCCCTGTGTATGTTACAGCACACATTGGACAAGTTCACACCAGGACACTCTTGTATGGTGTAAAGACTCCTTATCTTCCCTTTGCATTGTTGGTAGCTTTTACTTTACTTAAGCAAATTTTGCTTTTTGCCATTTTCCAAGGTCTATATTTTAATATGCTGTATCAAGATAGTAATAGAATGTTTTCCTTGCATGTGCTCCATACCATGGCAGTATGTACAAGGAAAATAACTAAGGAGGATTTTGTTATTTGGGTCTGGTTTCATTTTCTGTAATACACCCTGTGCTGCCAGTCATGGCAGACAGGAATAGGTTCCCTGAACATAGAAATAGTGCCTTGCCTGGATCCAGCACAATTCCAATCATGGCTCAAGAATGGTACAGTCCACAACCCGGCCATCACCAAATCCCTCTGCCAATTTTTTTTTATGATGGCATGTTCATGCCCTCGACTAAAATTTTTCATATGTTGGTCAAGTCACTTTGATCTAAGGGGTTAAGTAATGTCATGTACATCAGCTTTATTCTTTGTAAGAACAAGCTAAGTAAAATCCATGTAGATATGTAAAAACTACACAAATGACTATTGCACTGGCAGTCTTTACATGCCATGTATTAAAGGGTGGCATTGTAGTTGTGTGGTTGTATGAAGTCTAAACAAGACTATCAAGTAGTAAACACATGATTTCGGCATTAAGTCTAATGAAGTCACCAAGCATGAGTCTAAAATTCTCCCTGAAATCTGTTATATATTCTAGTACCAATGGAATATATATATATATATAATGGTTGTGCATAGTGAAGTTTTTATCTAAGATTACCAAAAGGATTCTTGTTGTCAAAGACATCATTTACTTGTAAAGTACAATGGTTTTGAAGTAACTTGCTATTTAGAAGAATGCAAATGTGGGTATGTTTCTAATGTATACATTATTTAATGTACACACACACTCACACTTATGCATACATACACACACACAGAAATATTAGTGCCTATATGTATATGTATGAAATAGAGCAATACTGTAAGGCTGGCATGGGACCTGTAACTTGCATTATGTTACTGCAGATTCTATATATATATATATTTTTTTTTTGCGTGTGTGTGTAACTATCTATCTATTTAATCTATATATATATATATATATATATATATATATATATATATAGATAATAGATAGATAGATAGATAGATAGATAGATAGATAGATAGATAGATAGATAGATATAGATATAGATAGATAGATATAGATAGATACATATATAGATATAGATATATACATATATATAGATATAGATATAGATAATATATATAGATATAGATATATATATAACATAGATATAAATACA